CGTCACCGTCCTACCTACTTCTCTCCCAAGATAAGTACGAGAGGCGGTTAATAATTTATTTTTTATGTTAATTTATTACTTTTTTCTTTTTTTTTTTTGTTAATTTATTTGTCATCGTCATAATTTATTATTTTACCTTTTGACAAATATTTTAACCTATAATTCTACCCCCTTTATTTTTATTTTTATTTTATTTATTTCTCAATTTTTAATTTTCCGGATTTTCCGGATTTTCCGAAATTTTCATTTTCCGGATTTTCCGATTTTCCGGAAATTTAATTTCACCCCCTATTTTCAATTTTAATTTTATTTTTATTTTTCATATTCTTATTTCTCATTTTTTCATTTTTTCCCCATTTTACATTTTTTAATCTTATTTYACTGACTGACTTTATTCTAATTTATTTTATTTTTATTTTTATTTTATTCTACTGACTGGTCCCTATTGACCTTTTCGTMGATTTTATTTATACACTTTTTTGTTAACTTATCCGTCCTGCTCTCGTACTTGTCATGCAGGCGAAATGGATGGCGATAGGGTAATTTTTTTCCTTTATCCGGTCGCTGCAGAGCTTACCTGCGAGCTCTGTCCTACCGCGGCGGTACGACGTTTACGCGGATTTGGACGCCGGGATGGTGTATTCGCGGGGGCGAGGCAACACGAGGACCTTGCAAAACACGTTAAAGGTGCCCATAAGAGTGAGGCTAAAGTTCTAGCAACATGTAGCGTGTGTTTTAAAGCGTATACTTACAAATAAAAAGTGTTAGGTTCGATAAAATGTTGCAAATTTCATTTATATTTCGACTACTGTAGTCAAAAAAAAAGAAAAAATCATTTTATTACAAATTTTTTTAGTTACTTTAAGTGAAGAATTTAGGTGTTTTTCGACGAAACTTGATTGTATTCAACCTAACATCTATTCTGTTTAGTTTCTAATAGCACATTTTTATTGTCGTTAAAAATTTTTTTAATATGTTTAAAAGATATTTTCGCTACTTTGCGGAATAAATCGTAGGTAAAAACTATGAATTTTTTTAAAAAGTGCTATTTTACAGAAGCTTTAAAACGTTTTCTTTTAAGTTTTAAAGCGTATACCTTCAAATAAAAAGTGTTAAGTCCGAAAAAATTTAGCAAACATCATTTTTATTTTGACTACTGCAGTCAAAAAAAAGAGAAAATATCATTTTATAACAATTTTTTTTGGTTACTTTACGTAAAGAATTGATTTTTTTTTCAACGAAACTCGATTGTAGTCAATCTGACATTCCTTCTGTTTAGTTTCTATTAGCACATTTTTACCAGCGCTAAAAATTTTTTAAATATATTTAAAAGAAACTTTTCCCACTTTCTTAATAAAATCGTAGTTAAAAACTATAACGTTTCTTCATAAGTGCTATTTAACAGGTGTTGCGTATCCTACGCAACGAGTGAGTAGGACGAAGCGCCTGGGTGTGTACGGCCCTGTCAAAGCGTGAGACACGTACGACAAAGCAGTATCCTTGTTTTGTGTGGTAACTACGGTAGCGCTATAGTGCTTGCAAGGGGTCTTTCTTCTAGCTCGCGTTCTCCCACTACATTTATTACGTTAATCACATGTATCGACAGCCGCGTTATCCTCGGGCTTATCGGTGATTGGTGCAGCATTGCATCGCTTTTTTGTATAAAGCATAGCGCATTCTTGCGCCTAGCATCACTCGTGATTCGTCMCTCGTAATTCATCGCTCGAGATTCATCTAACTTAGAAAGCTAAGACTTGCGAGAACTACTTCGAAGAGAATTATTGTATTGCGCAATACTACATCATTTAAGTTCGGCCAGCGACAAGGGACAAAGGCGGTCCTGCACGTAGCCAGAATTATCCTGATTTGTACGGA